CTTACAAAAGGTACCATAGGCTTCCTCATCCTCGACACTCATTCCTCCTGCGGGCGTATGGTAGTGCCCGGTACCATGCTCGTAATGGCGCGAGCACCAATGCAACGAGAACTTGGATACACGCCCCACCACCAGGCGACCCTCATCGTCCATAAGAGGCTCCCCATTCTCATCGGCCACTGCGGTTTCCTCTTCATACATAGAATCCAAAGCAGTCTGGGTGATCGACTGCAGGACGTACCATTTGTCCTTGAAACCCCGGACCGAATCCATGTACATCCTGAACAGCCTCTTCGACTATTTCAGGGAAACCCAGCTATGCTTGCCTCCTCGAGACTGGCGTTGCAGGTGAAAAACTCTGAAGAAGAGAGGAATGGTCGCCCCGATCCTTAAGAAGTGACATGTCAGCTCGAACGCCCGAAGAAAGGCGATCGAATTGGGGTGAAGCTGCGAGGGGGCCAAGTCCAGATGGAAGAATACCCCGACTTGGAAATCATTGAAAGGGAGCTTAAGGCCGAGGTCCTTGAACGCGATTTCATACATTGGAAACCCATACTCGGAGAACTCTGAGCAGATTCGCGCGTCGAGGGACGGCCTTGTGACAACAAAGTTCTTCTAGAAGCCCGACTGACTACCGCCGTGTTCGACGACAGTGTATGCGCGCCGACTACGCCGACTATATGCCGAGGCAATCCCTCGGGGCTCGGCTCCCACCCAATCCAACGAAGGATCATTGACGGTATCAACAAGAGTTACATTCTCCTCGGTGCTCTGGTCCTCGACCTCATTACGCCCCGAAGACTCCGGCTCGTCAGCCATTTACCTGCAAAGCACAGGAAATCGGTGAAATTCGAGAGCAAATCCATATGCTCGCCATAACTGACGGGAAGTAGTGCACGACAAGCCAAGACACACTCCACGCGCGATAAAACATTGAGGACTCGAACAACATCCTGGTTTCGCCTCCCCGACGCTAAGGTGCCATAACGAGTTGTCCTACATACTTCCTAAGGGGTCAACATCCCGACCAGCTCATGGGTGCGCCGACCTAAATTATGAATTTGACGAGCAATATCATGAGTCCTAAACCTAGAACTATGGGTTTACCGGGCAGTATCATAGATTATGCGCCCAAAACCATGAAGGTCCCAGGCAACATCGCGAGTCAAATACCTAAAGCTATGGGTTTACCGGGCACAAACATGAAGGTACCGGGCACATACATGAATGTATCGGGCACTAGTCCCAGATCTGGGCTTCTAACATCCGAATAACGGTAAAATTACCTACAAACGAAGAAAAATAGGAGGGATAAACGCTTACTTGGAAGTAAAGAAAAATGTACGGCAACGGTGGAAGAAATCAACGGAGGAAGAGGCGGTAATCTTGCGAAGTTGTAGAAGAACAGCGACGGTAAAGGCAGAGGAAGAAGGAGAAACGCAAAGAGGAAAAACAAATTATGGGACCCAAGGATCCTATTTATAGGGATGACGTGGAATATGAAACGTCACCCCGGGGAACCACGAACTCCCCTCCTCGACGCCTACTCCCCTAAGTAATGATGACCCTACTGTCGCTAGGGTGGCGTCACGATTCCCAAGGGATGCCTCGTATGCCCAACGAACACAGTCCGTGAGGAATCCCCCGAGCACGCGTCGACGAGGATTACCCCACGAATACAACTCATGAGAAACTTCTCGAGCAATCACGAGGAAGCAAATAGCCTGGGCCGGGCATCGGGCCCCGTGGCAAAGGCGAGCTGAAGTCAAGTCATAGCTCCTGCTCTAGAAGCCACGACTTGGGGGGCTCCTGTTCTGGACTGGGCCCGCCCTGGCCCAAAAGCAAAGACAAAGGACCAATCCAAGCAGCTCCGTGAGGGACGCGCGCCCGCGAATTCCTGCCAGCGCGCCCGACACAGACCACAGTCGTGCCCGCCGTTGCCCGCGACACATGGTGTCCTCGACCACGGGAACTCCAGCTCGAGCACCCTCCTTGTAGGGAAGATTCTGACTGTTACTAAATCATCTGAACTCCGGAAAGACCGCGTCTTCGTCCCTCCTTATTTCTCGGAGAGCATCACCAGGAAGGGGGCCACGTGTGGGTCCCCACTACACACGTAGAACCTGGCAGTTCCTTTGTTGGGCCAAATCTGGTCGACCCAATGAGGGGACCTTGGCCCCGCGCTGAGGGCTATAAATACCCTTTGTTCCTAGAGAGTCAGGTATTCATCTCTTACGCATACATACACTTTTTGCCTGCTCATTCTGTCACTCATTTTAGCATCGGAGTGCCTTGCAGGTACCCCTTCATCTCACTCAAATTCTGCGCGGAGCCAGTCGTGACGGTCCAAGTCTGATCAGGTAAGATCAGTAACTATCGTACAATATGTGAAAGAATATGAATGGAAAAGATTTGGATAACAAATATTATGCAATTGGATCTCAATAAAATAGAGGTTGAATGGTGAGGTTAGCCACGTGGCACACTGAGGAAAAAGTAGGACAATTTTGTCTTTTGTAAAGCACTAACCTTTCTTATATGATAGATACCATGCATTAATGATGTAGAAAATTTTTCACGTGCATTTATTTATTTTAGTTAAAGAAAATAAGTAACATAGAGATACTCATCAATATATAATTAGTCAAGGCAAGTTTGTTTCTTAAGAAATCATCTCTAACTACAAGAGTAAGATAAAATCAAATGATGAAAATTTGCAAGTTTAGGCCAATATTAATTAGGCTATCAGCAGAACAATTTTCTTCTCGATATATATGTGTGACAATGCAATTCACACTCCTAAGAATAATGGAACAATTAATCCATTTATTCCTAAGATAACAAGAGGTTAAATAAGCATTTTTGAAAACCATGAGAACCAATATTAAATCAGTTTCAATTCAGAAGTTCTTCTAATTCTTACTATATACAATATCTATTGCACATAAAATTCCTAATAACTCAATGTGGAAAGTGAATCAAAGACCCGTCTGTGTTTTGAGCAAAATAACATAACACATCAGGCGAGTGATTCCTGAAAATACCACCACGGGAGGAGGTGACTGAAACAAAGAATCTATCAATGTTGCATTTAGTCTAAGTGTTTATATGGGATTCCAGATGAATTTACTATTTTTTGTGCTTTGGGAGGATGTATGTTGATGTTGAACTTATTAAGAACGAAATATATATTGAACTAATTTTTATCACTTTCACCTAGATTTGCACATGACTTAGAGAGAGAATATCATTCACATTATAGTTGATATTGACTCAATTTTTATTAGTTGATTTGGTTATTGATAATTGCAACTTTAGTGGAATTGTTCCTATATTGGTTCGATGCATATGTAAGTTTTTGAATTTGAGATGAATTGTCAAGGTAAACATGATTAGTGTGAGGGAAACAAATGTGTATATTTTACTTGATAACTTTAACATTTCAATGTATTCAATGAGTTTTTCGTATTTCGTAGACTCTTTATAATAGCTTCAAAGTTATATGTTTGATAACATATTTTTTAACGATTATTTTCCTTTAATTAACATGGATTCTCAATACTAGCTGTTGTAACCTACATATCGAGGTAAGAAATCATAAAATATTTCAAAATTTCAATAATATTTTTTTAAGTTTATTCTCACATTTCGTTAAAAAAAAAATTAAATAATATATTTTCTTTAATTTTTTGTTTTTTTTTTCAATTTAGGTTATCATTTGGGCCGTTTCATCTATCGTACTTGGCCCATTAAAAGTGAGGCCTGCTTTACGGGCTTTCTTGCAGGTTACTTTTTCTTTCTCCTTATTTTAGGTTTTCTATACTCACTTTGTTTCGCTTGTGCTACACATTAGGGTTTTTGCGAGATTTCTCTGAAGAATTCCTCTCCCGTCAATCGCTCTCCATGGATCTTTCCGACCTTAATTCAGCTGATATGCAGAGATTTTACTCTGTAAGTTTGATTTCATCTTTTTTTATGGTTACCTTTGGTTGCTTTTACTGATTGATTGTTCAACTGTATATGCTTGTGTTTGCTTTCTGGATTTCATTTTTCATTACGAGGCTATCGATTTTATGGTTATTTTCTTGAACCAGTTTCAATTTGGTTCATATCTGGTTTGGAACCGGTTTATAATTAAAAATCGGTTTTTAAGCAATTATATGTCTTGAAACCGGTTTTTGGCTCAAACCAGTTTTTAACTGGAGTGTTCCACGGTTATTCATTACTTTTTTTGAAGGCTTGTGAAAATTGGTTAATGTCAAATGCAGGAAGAACAACAAAGAGCCATGATCAATGAAATGGTGGCAAAGATGATCAGTAAATGCTGGGACAAATGCATCACAGGTACACCTGGGAATAAGTTCAAGTTCAACAGTGAAACTAATTGCCTTACACACTGTGCACAGCGTTACATGGAGATGAACATGCTTATCATGAAGCGGTTTCAGAGTATGCAATGAAGATCAATGGGTCTCAAATTTCTCCCTTTTATAATCATCAATCTTATCACTATTTAGAAAGCTGTTTTTTTTCTTCTTTTTATATTGGGTTGAGACCCGTGTCAGAATATTTAGTTTTTACTATTATGGATGAGTTATAAGCCATTTCCAGTTTTAAACTGTTATGAAAGAACAAAAATTTATTCATGCGCGGAAAATATTATATTAGTGCTGACATATTGTCAACATGCCATGGATCTTGCCTGAGGCAGTTCTTTCAAATTCAAACAACTTTTGTTTACCACTTCAAATTAAAATTCCTAGCAAATAGTGTTTTTCTCTTTTCTGTTGGTTTGAATATCTTTTGGCAGTTTAATCGGAATGCTGTAAATTGCATATACTCTTGAATTAAACTTCTAAATGGTAAGTTACAGTTATCGACCTAAGCACTAGTAACTTTCTTTGCTATCCTGACCTACAATGTTGTTTGTACCCTGAGGTTCAAGTATTGTGAAGTGTGATTGAGGGTGCTGTTGGGATATTGCATCCGTATCTTTTTGGCTACTCATTTGTTCGAAGGTGCTGTTGGCATATTGCATCCGTGTCTTTTTGGCCACTCATTTGTTTTCTGAATTGTGATACATTTGGTCCAATGTGGTTGTACTCAAGCATTGCCTCGGTCCATTGAAGGATCCTAGTGTAGTAACTTGAAGGGTAACGAATTTGAGGAACCTGTGTATAATTATGGAATTTATTCTTGTTGAATTTGTGATCATGTTCCTTGTTTGTTAAGGCAAAGCCTATCTGGTTGGTCAACTTATGTTGGTAATACACCCTAGCATAAAGGCGAGGTAGTTGAATCTTCTGTGTCCAATAAGTTGTTTGGAATAGTGGGCTGTTAATCATGTCATAGGATCCTTTATTAAGGATGCTGAGGCGTGGAAGTACTTCAGGAGGGAGGCGTAGAAAAATTTCGAAGAGAATGTCATTGCAGAGTTCCACAGGCGGAGTAGGAAGCGGGGAAGAAAGAGAAGTTTGAAAGAGAGATTGCATGAAGTCTATAATCCATTTCAAGAATTTGGGTAATGGCATTTCTATCTTCTGTCAAGATTTGCTAGTATTTGATTGCATAGCAATTGGTGGGTTCTGTAATGCATAGAGAAATTCGGACATGAATCTAGGCATTATCTAAACAATTGGTTGCTTTTAATTTAGTGTGCAATATGGAGGTCAAACGTTGAGTAAGGAGACAAAAACGGCATGCCATAATACCATTATTAGTGCCTAATTTTAAAAAATTATTATTAAACTTCAATTTCATCTAGGTAATAACAATAACAACTGCAATTTCATCTATTAAATCTAAGAAAATTGAGTCTATGTTGAATTCACTTAATTGGACGCACCCAAAGTTAAACTCACTTACACAAATTTTGTTCTATAACTTAATAGAATTCATAGGAAAGAAAGATGTTTTTAAGTTGCCTCCACATTTCAGTTCATTTCTGCTTTGGAAAACTGCAAAGTTGATTGATCAGGTAGCCTGGCTCCAGTCCTCCCTTAGAAAAAAAGCAGACTGGTTCGAGACTCAAACGGATCTCGAGGCTCATCATCTTTATGAGAATTTACAACATATGCATATGGTGACACTAAATCCTTGTTCCAATTAGAAACGCCTTTGGGATAACGACCAAAATCAATAACAACCTGAATAGAGTTGTATGTGAGTTATAGAGTTTTTTAAGATATGTTAAAAATAAATTAGATGTAGTTGTATGTGAGTTAACTTCAAGAAGTTCAATTGGAGAGTTTTTTGAACTGCCCGAATTATACAAATGATGTGTTCTCCTCTTCTTGGACCTTAGAAACACTGGAAGTTCTTGATCCATATCATAATTTTGATTAATATTATTATTTGGCATTCCAGATTCAAGTTCTAATACCTCAGCTTCAATGTTATTCTCTTGTTCATGCAAGTGATGTATGTACTCAATTGCATCTTTACTAATCGAAGCCTTGTCCATCTAAAATAAGAAAAAACATGTCACCACTCATCATATTAATTAGTTTGAACCATGATTAATATTAATTTAGGGACAACCAGAATGAATTAGTGAAGTTTGCCTTGGTAATGTTGAGGACCACTGCTTTAAGAGCAAAGAGTCTTTCATTGAGTTTCTTCCTTTTATTCTTTTCAGAAACAATGGTCTTAGATGAAGTTGCACCATCAGGAGAGCTTGAATCACAATATCCTGAAAATGTTTATTCCAATCCCCAACTGCCACCACATCTCAATTGATTACTCTAATTAATTTAATTTCACTAATTGTAGCTATAATTGAATTAAGAGAGTTTATTGATACTGTTGCCTAAGTTCTTGGGCTTGGAGGAACATGTTGGTCTCCCAGTATTGCTTATACTCTTCATTAATATTCTCCATGCCTCCAACTTTGTACAAATATTATTTTTTTCATACTTTTGTCTCTCATACCAGTATTTTTTTCATACTTGCATCCTGCTAAAACATAACAATGCATAATAATATTACTTCCACAGTTGATAACAAAGCATCTAGTGTGCAGCCACAATGAATAAAAGACACAACACATAAACAACCTTACACTAAAATAGTAAGACATCCCACATAGTTAGTGAAACTCAAGCATAGTAAGTTATTTTCATTGAAACAAAAGCAGAAAAATCAAAACTTCTTCTCATTTGAACATAATCATCAGCAACATAACATCACAACATAAAAAAAATCAAAACTGAAACAAAAAGAGGAAAGAATCCAGTTGGGACATTTCATTGAACATCTTGCGAGCGAAGACAAAATCTGTATTTTTCTTCATTTCAACTGGTAAGCGCTCATCCAACTTAGCCAGTATTTTTCTTCATTTCAACTGGTAAGCGCTCATCCAACTTAGTCTGCATTTTTCTTCATTTCAACTGGTAAGTGCTCATCCAACTTAGCTTTATAATGCTGTATAATCGCTTTAATTTTAATTCAAACTAAAATCTGCACCGAAATCGAATCACAATCAACTGTAGTAGAACCCGTAAATATGCAAGAATTCCAAAACACAACCAATTGTAAACATAAAACGTAAATCAAATATTGAACTGAAACAAAACTCGATTTCTCAAGAGATTTATTCCATAGCATAATACTTTTGCTTTGAATTCATGTCAGGCACAAACCGTAACCGAACCACTCGAACAACAACATCCCATGATTCTTTTGCAGGAGTTATTTCAGTAATATAGTCTCGCCTTGCAGCAGCCATTGCAGATTTATGAAATAACAGTAAGAACAATTCCCAACACGTCTGAAACTTTTCCTTTTATTTGCACCAAACCTGTCATCCATTATACGTCCTCGAAATTGTTAGAACTGTTGCAGTGAATTGGCACTATCTTTACACCAGTTTTCCACCTTAAATCTTTATCAAACCTACAAAAGTACAATAAAAAGATAAGTATACAAATTATTCATCATATATACTTATTCCATGAAGGTTAAGAGTTCATTAGCAGCAGCTGCTCCAGGAGTAATGACTATTATTTGTGGCTCGAATTTGGGTCTACCACCTCTTACTTATTCCATGAAGGCTGCCATTGCAGTTCTGATAGATATAAGTCGATGATAGTCTTGAAATAATGCATTCTCTCTAAAACCATTATAATCCTCTGGGTACTTTTCTACCAAATCAATCCTCTGGGTACTTTTCTACCAAATCAAATGAAACCTGAACACAACACGTTAAAATATATTAGTATTTCATCAGAAGCTAGAACTATAAACATTAATTTGAATAGAATGATATATGAATATAGACTTACTTGGTTAGGATACTTGCAAGAAAACGCTCGCGGTACGAAGTCTCTGTGCAATTTCAATTGCTGCCTGCAGAGAGATGTCATAACAAATGGATAAAAAACAGATTTCGACGTAGACATTATATTATATTTCACGCAAATTCACCTGTAAACCAAACATTTTACAATCAGCTTCCATTTCATGTTACTTACCTGCTGCAACAAAAGTATCAGCTGTTTAGAACACAATACCCGCCTCATATTTCACAATTTTAAGATCCCTAATCTAAATCCAGAAGCACGTCATCCTCAATGTAAATCATTTATACAACATCCTCAATTTCAATAATTTTCTACAATCTGTAGGTAATAACAAACATATAAAAATGAAATATAAAAAACCGAAAATAAAAAATCTAACCTGATATAATAACAAAAGAAGATAAAAACAAATATGAGTTAACTCTAAAAAATTATCAAACAAAGAATTAGAGGAATCTATCTATCGTTTCAAAAGGTTGAAACAACAAAAGGAATTACAAATTGAAAACCTCAAAAAAAAGGAGGATGAATTTTAAGATTTAGGTTTGAAACTCATAAATCTACCACCGTGATACTTGATATCGTTGTAAAATCGCTGAAACCGTCATAGCCGCCACCACCTTCCCCATTCTGATTGATTCGTTAAACCCTTTTTTTTGTTTGCAAGAGAATTGAGAGTGATTTTCCAAAGAATATGGAATAGAAAGCATTTGGCGAAACCCTCCTAGCCTTCATGTTGGTAACTGTCGTACAATATGTGAAAGAATATGAATGGAAAAGATTTGGATAACAAATATTATGCAATTGGATTTCAATAAAATAGAGGATGAATGGGTGAGGTTAGCCACGTGGCACACTGAGGAAAAAGTAGGACAATTTTGTCTTTTGTAAAGTACTAACCTTTCTTATATGATACTCCCTCCGTTTCTTTTTAAGTGTCGTTTTAGAAGTTTTTTTGTTTCTATTTAAGTGTCGTTTTGATGTTTTAAGGTTACAATTTATCAATTATACCCTTATTTTTTAAATAAGTCCACTTTATATTTTATAAAATTTTCCTTTCTTAATATATGTAATAACTCACTTCACATTTCCATAAAATTCTCTTTCTTAATACGTATTCCTATTCCCATGGAAATTTAATATATGTAATAACTCACTTCACACTCACTTCAAATTATATTCCAATATTACATAGAAAAATGTTTAGCATTAAATTTTGTCAAAGGAACAAAATTTTCAATTGAAGACTAATAATTCTATAAAAAGGATTAGTACCATTGTTTAAATTATCCCGTACAAAACAAAAGAGCTGTGGTGGAACAACAAAAGACTCCATGGATCTTCAAAAAGAAGAAAGAGTGGAAGAGTCATTGGAGCAAGAAGAATGGGGAATCGTGGAAGACTCTTTTGACAAGATTCAAGAACAAGATGACAACGAAGAAGAAGAAGTATTATCAAGAGTTGTACTGGATTTTGATTTAAATGAAGAGGCAGATTATGAATTTGATTTGAACAAATTTCCTGAAGAAGACGAAGAAGAAGGAGAAAAAAACGGAGAAGAATCTTCCTACCATACTGAGTTTCGACCTGTGATAAAAAAGATGATAAAAAAACTTTTTCCAAAATTTTACTGAAAAATATTTGTGGACTAAGTATGGAGTATCTCATTTTAGATTTGACTTAAGTGCATAAGTTGTAGGAGTTGTTATTTAGGAAGTCCTTATTATTGGTATTTTTTTTATAAAATAAGTATGGAGAAGAATTCCTTGTTATTGCTACAATTTAGGAATGCATTTCTTAAGTTCATTCTTATTGTTTTTTTATTGATACATTAAAAAAAATCATGGCAAAAGTTTAGGAAAATATAAACTTAATTCTCACGCACAATACATATGATAAAAGTGACTACATCCATAAACTATATTTATGGCAAAAGTTACTGTAACTAAATTTGTTACTCCATAAACTAAATTTTAGGAGTACAATCCATAAACTTAAAAAAAACTCTATTTGAAAATCTCAAATGTGACTACATCCCACTTACAATAAGTGTTACTCCATGTTTAAGTAATTCTTGACTTCTTGTATTAATATTGAATCACACTTAATTTGAATTGGTAGTTGTCCTATTCTTTCTAGCCTTTCCTTATTTATATGAGGAATTTTATATTTATTGAAACCTGTCACTTTCATGATCTCTACCATGCATAATTGCAATGATACAAATATAC